GGAACTGATACCTGGTTTTATGCCAAAAGATGTTTCCTGTCCTTATTAGAAAACATGTGATTGTGCTTCGTGACAGTGTTGTGTGTCCAGTTTCTAGAACAATGTGAACTTTGTGGCAGGAACATACCTGCCATTACTGAACACCCCCTGGAAGAAGAAAGAATGCATACTGGAAAGAATACAGTCACCTATGAATCCAGACAGTTAAAAGCTTTGATTTACAGAGGGGGAGATGAACCATGAGAGACAATGTACTCTGAAAAACAAAGCGAGGGTTCTAGAGGGGAGGGGGGTGGGAGGATGGGTTAGCCTGGTGATGGGTATTAAAGAGGGCACGTTCTGCATGGAGCACTGGGTGTTATACGCAAATAATGAATCATGGAACACTACATCAAAAACTAATGATGTAATGTATGGTGATTAACATAATAAAAATAAAAAGCTTTGATTTATGAGATTATAGGATGGAATATATAGTTATGTCTGATAATGGCATTTATCAGAATGGCTCTGTTATTTATATTTGTCCTCTGTATTTATCTTTGGCATCTTTACATGCTACATATTGAGCCTAGAACACTTAAAATTATAATAACAAATACTGTTTGAGGAATCTTTCCATTTAATTGAGTAAGGAGCACTCAGTATGAGGTAGCTCACTTTGGTATTCTCTCTGCCAGAAGTCACAAGGTTTTGCCCTCAAGCAACACTTGCTAGAGTGACATCTTTACATAAGCCAGTTACCCTCCATAGTTTATATCCTAATTTTAGGCTGTAGGAAAGGATGTGGCATAAGCCAAAGAACTGTTAGAGTGGGTATGTTTGCATTCCTCTGGTGATCACTATGTAAATGATTGCTAGCCCATGGCTGGACGTTTCTTCAATCAGCAGTCAAGACCCGTCCACTGTGCCACCCCAGGATAGACTTTGCTGTCCAATAAGACCAATTCTGACCTTAACTGTATACCTCCACTCCATTTTTTTAGTCCTGTAGCCTCCGGGTCTCAACTGAGTCAAGTTTGGATCTTGGCCTAAGCTCTTATAGAAGTACAAGTACTAAATGAATGAGAATTATTTTTTTGGTTCTTTTCAGGTTATGAGGTTTGGTCTGTAGCTTAATTTTTCTTCCATAATTTGGTTAATTGGTTTATCTTGTTTTATAGAATACTTCCCCTAGTTTTCCATTTTTGGTTTTCCAGGATTGATTGTGCCTCCTTGTGACAAATAATCAAATGTAAAATCTTTCTAATGTGTGTAGCATAGCATAGAAAAGTAAGCACTGAACTGACAATGAAAATACTAAGGTATGAGTTCAAGACCGTCCACAGTCAACTTTTACCTTCAGAAATTCATTTACCCCTTGAGGTCCCACATCATTTGAACTGCTAGATGCTTTTTACAATTACTTCTGGCTGTTACAGTTACTTCTGTCTGTTACATCTGATTCTGTACAACCATACAGTAGAAAGTTGACTGCTTTTATGACCTGGCTATTTAAATAAGTCAGTCAGGAAACAAAATATATACTTACGTTTCAAATGAATGTTTTCTGGTATTTGGGCTTACGGTAAATGTTAACCCGTTAGATAAATGTCTGTTGTCACTTTTTGTTGGATGCTACAACATATTGATTACTACTAAGAAATTAGGATTTTTGCCTTTTTCTACTTGGAGCTTTTTCTTATGACTAACTATGAAAGTATAAAAGGCAGTCCTTGTTCTCAGCTAAGGGTTGTGCAAAAATTAAGAATTTTGTAAATATTTAGAAATTATTTTAATTCTCTTACCCTTTTAGTTTTATCCACTAATTTATCTATTTGGTGGGGAAGGGGAGATTTGCTTTTAATTCCTCCAAAAAATGTTATACCACAAATGATATGTAAAGGATATATACTCCAGGAGTTCTAGTAACAGAATATTATAATATGCCTTTTTAGATCAATTATTCTTGAAATAATTAGAGCTCCTCCTGCCCAAGGTGAAGGCCTCCAGCGGCCAGTCTGCCAGAAGTCTGGAAATAGAGGAACAGGTGAGGTGAAGATGAAGCGGAGATGTAGCTATGTGATCTACTTCACGACTCACCTTGGATCCCCTTCGGGTCCAAATCTCAGTAGTTTAATCAAATGTCTGCTGCCATTAACAGAACAGAAGTACTGGATAACCAAGTGGAAATAACAGATGCCAGAGCTACTTCTGTAACTAACTCACCAAATCGAATCATCAGTCCTTGCACCCTTGTTTTATTTAATACAAGGAGGAGAGGTCATGCAGACTTTCCAAAAGGACAAAGCCACAATGAAGAGGAAGACAATCTCCAGTTTATAAAGCTTTCTCTTGGAGTGTTTTCTTTTTCTGCCTTCAAAGGGTCTATTTAAGAGATAGTAGTGTTTACTGCTACAGAATGTATCACAAGATAAGAAATGAAAAATCTATCTGCCTTACTGCCCTCCTTTTCTTGCTCTTTTTTATCTTTTATTTTTCTCTCTTTTGTCAATTATAATACTTCTCTGATAGCTGGCAGTTGAAACCACAAGCAGGTATAAAAGATGCGTACCAACCTTTTAGCAATAAGTGTTAGGTAAGTAGCACTGTGATTATCACAGGGACTTTAGAAACCATTTAACCATGCATTTTTGCAAATTGAGATAACACTTATCAATAAAAAGTGACTCTCAAATTGGTAAAGCCAGAGAAGATTTTAAGAGGACCTAACCAAAAGCACTGGATCTATATAATTTGCAGAATGCAGTGAGCTTTTTTTTGTATATTTGCAGTAATACTTATCTTTTTCTCTTTGACCTCAATAGAAAAACAGTGACTGAAATTTTAAAGAGTACAATATTTTTTTAATGTTCTGTGACATTGGGAATTAAATATACTCTTAACTCTAGAGGAGACTTTCTTTTCTGTAGCCACAATCATTTTATATTGAAAAATAGAGCCAGGCATTAGCCAGAGGTAATTAATTAATTAATCATAGGTACAGTGTGGTCTTGTTTTATATTACCCTTGGGGAGGGGGGAGAGTGAGTCTTTACAAGGTGATTGCTTTACACTTGAGTCCACAAGAAATCAGGGTTCTTTTGGTGGTTTAATAAAATCAGCTCCCTTGGATTTGGGCCAAGATTGACCTATCACATATTGAAATCCTGTCTACAACATCATAATGTGTTTATATTAGAAAAGGAATTGCCCTCATAGGGAAAAATGTTCAGACAATAGAGAGTTCTGTGTACATTTCTAGAATAAAGATAGGCATTTGTTAGTTTAACAGGACCTGCTGATAACTTGATTGTAATATTATTAGGTGGACATGTAAACTGAGTCCAAGTTCTTGTTCCAAAGTGAAATTTGCACATTTGTGAAATTAAACACATCATTATCATTGACTGGATCTCTCAGTTCAAAACAACAAATGGCTAAAACTGTACTGTGCAAACAGGACCTTAATAAGGTTCGTGAGAAAGCATTTATTGCTAGTATTATGTTTCCAGTTATTTTAGTACAGAGGCAAATCCTTCAGAGAAAAGACACATTACTAAAGGTTTTACCAGCACTCCCGGCAACTGCTGTAAAAAGTATGTCTACAAAGTTTCCACAGAGTCTTGAAGAGCTTGTCAAGATTCACCAGGAAACTACCGGCTGGTTTGTGTTTCTGTCTCTGCTGCATAAGGTCAGAAGCTATTCTGTGAAGTCTCAA